GATAATTTAACCAAACTTCACACACGTGCATTGATACTAGATAAAGTCACGTCAAGGGGCCTCCCTCCCATTTTTCTTAAAGAGACCTGCTGCTCGCTCCCTCACTATCCATCCTTCGGTTCAAAAATCTTTTACTGCCATCCAGTGGTCAAAAAAGGTACTACACTCAAAACAAATTCAAAAACATTTATTTTTAAATTTAACAATAATTGCTAATTATTGTCAATTTTCAAACAATATTATCGTTTATCGCAATAAATTCTGAGACAATTAATCGCCCAGCAAAATTTGTTATCGTGACAGGCCTACCTGCAACCAAGAAAAGATATCAAGTCTCTGTCTTGAGTTAATGTATCAGCTGAACCGTGGCTCAAACAAAGTTTTTAAATTTTGGCTCCTTTTGGTAAATGAGTTCAAAACGTCTGCACCATCTCGACCCATGATGGAGTGTCGCATACAGTTTTCACCTCAGCTCCAAAGGCAAGGTCGAAAATCGAGACAAAGTTAAATACAAGGTTTTACCGTTTGTCGACGAGTGTATAATGTACATATGCAGTACTCTTTTTATATTTAGGTGAATGTATTTAATTTTCTGTGCCTATAAAGCTAAATTCAGGTCTCCAACAGTCACCTTGTTCTGGACTGACCTGGCCAAAATGGCGAGTAAACAACAAAACCTCTTTAAAAAAGTAAAAAGTAGGACTTGAAACACCCATAAGTGTTTCTTCTTCTTGTCAGGATCTATTTGCGTGTTTCACTGAAGCGTTTGGGGTCGGAAAAAAGTGGACCTCTTCGACTGGAGCGCTCTCGTGGTGGCCCAAGTGGAACGATCTCCGCCTGTCTCTTCATTAACAGAAGGAAAATCTGTGCGGCGTCACGCTCTGGCTGCAGAGACACACTCCAGGAGAGGCACTAGAAGGCCCCACGAGGGTTTAGGAACATGTGCAGAGGCACCGAAATACAAAACACAACCTCACAAATCCTTATTTACACGCAGTGGATAAGATGTTGTACTTACAAAGACACACGTTTACCTCTTACCCTGCTTTTGAGCGGTTCAGGAAAAGAGTTAGAGAGGACTGAAGTTGGCCCCGGTTAATTAGGCAGCGCCAGGCGTTCTCCTCCTCGTGTAGAGATAACGACGACTGCAGCGGCCCTCGGCCACACAGGGCAGGTTTCAAACACCTGTGGAGAGGAGCTGGAGTGGTTGGTAGGTGGTTAGCTCCACAGGTTAGAGTCCTCAGAGGCTCCAGTGGTAAACCAAACGTTGAACAAGTTGTCAGCATCCATACCAGAGGGAAGTGGAGAGAGGACAGCTTGGACGATGGTTGTAAAATCATCCTTTTATATTTGACTTGTTGGGCCTTTCATGCTTTAAAGGATCATTTACAAAAGTGTTTGTTTGATCTTAACTTAAAGGGTTTATACACAAGTGTATTTAAATTTTTAGAAGAGCATTCAGCTTAAAATAATGTGAAGCTGTTCATGCAGTCCTACAAGCTAACCCTTTAAAAATGAGCTTCACTGGAAAACAGTTTTTAAAGTTGTTTTGTGTGAAACGGAACCGTTCTTAATGTCCTGCCTGGTTAAATTAAAGGTTAAACTAATTAACTATATAAAAAAAGGTATATGGGCAGAAATTTGTGCCATCAGAAACTGAATTGCTCAGACTTCATCTGTATTCCCGTAATTTGAAATTAAATCCATTGGTCTGAAAATGAATTTCACTAAATTGAAACTGAATCAATTTGCTTTGAAACTATTTCATTGTATTAAAACTTGAGTTTAATAACAGTAGTCCCTCGTTTATGGCGGTGGATCCCTACCCTCCGTGGTAATTGAAAGACCACGAAGTAGGGATACAGTAGTTCAAGTTCACGTACAGTAAACTTTATTTTAAGGTTTTAGAAAACCTTCCCACACTCTTGCAATGTTCTAAGCTCTTAAACCTACATCATTTTAACAACATATTTACTTACTAGCTCTGCAGAACAGCAACAGCTCTGGTTCCAGTCCAGCTCTGTTCTATTCGGACTCGGTTTGTTTCTAAAGACCTTTCCTGCAGCAATGAAGCCCACAAATCAGTCCTCTAAACTCTTAAACCTACTAATTTTAACAGCAAGCTACATCAAATATGTAACTACTAAATATTAATTACCAGGCTCTGCAGAACAGGAGCGACACGGTTCCGTCCGACCCGATAGATGAAAAAAGTCCCTGTGCAGCATGACTTTGAGTTGCAAAACTTTCCCTCCATTTGCAGCAAGTAGCGGTTGGAAGCAGTGTTGACAGCTGGGAAGTGAACTGATGGCTTCTGGGTAACGCAGTTCTTTAGAGTGGCAAAACAGTGAAGGCTTAATGAAAGAAAACTACAAAATGGCGGC